AAAGCAGCAGCATGCCGGTCCCTGGAGGAGCCGCAGGTCCCCTCTGGCACACACACAATGGGAGACCCTCGAGAATGCAGACGCTCCGGCCATCGAGTCCATGTGATTCACCGTGGGGACAGTGTGGAGCTGCCCTGCGGGCTCTCAGATGGTGGCTCTGGGCACGAATAGACAGCCACGCCTTTCTCCCACAGAATATTGGTGAATTCGAACTGCTGCCTCGGTGTTGCAGTCCCACGCCACAGGGCTCCTCCAGGGAGCACTGAGCCCTTTCAGAACAAGGCCACAGTCCGACAGCGCAGGCCCTACAACCAGCAAATGTCGTCAGTCTCACACAGGCAAATTCTGTGCGAGACTGCTGTCCTAAGACAACAGACAGACAAACGACCAAGAAGACTGGCTTTGCATGCCCCCAGCCCCCCCAAAGATGCAGACGTTGAAGGTTCTGTGGAGACCTGGGGGTGGCTGGGGAGGCGATGAGGGGCAGGGAGGGGAAGTGGGAGGGCGGGGGAGGGGGTACTGGGGTACCCCCTCACTGTTCTGAGGAGCTGAGCTGAGCGCACCACTCTCCACAGTAAAGCAAAAAGGAGAGGAAGCAACCAGCACCATCCTCACCACTGCCACGCCGGCCATGAGTGCCGCTCACTCTCCCGCTGGCGCCCCGCACGCGCTGCACTGCTCCCCGCCCTGCAAGGCCGGTCAGGCCAGGCAGTCCCAGTCTCAGGAGCCCCCGCCCTGCAGGCTTGCTGGGGGTCAGCATCGCCTGATAGTGGCTGGTCTGTCTTTGAGCTCACTGCTCGCAGCCCACTGTCACAGCGGTCATGCGCTGGGTTGCTAGTCACATGGTCAGCAGTTCAAAACCACCCGCTTCTCTGCAGGAGAAAGACGGGCTTTCTACCCCTGTAAAGAGCCACAGGGGCCGTCTAGCCCGCCCTGCAGGGTGCCCTGAGTCGGCATCAACTCGCTGGCAGGCCGTTTGGTGCTTGATTTGGGATTATTGCGCATCTCAGAATCTGCACTCAATTCTTGGGGGTGTTTAATACATAATGCAGCCCCAGTGGTCCACCAGGCTAAATGCGAGGTTGATAACTACAGGGTCAGCAGTTCGAGCCCTTCAGCTGCTCTGTGGGAGAAAGAGGAGGTGCCTGGAAGTCCAGGGTGGGCGTTTGGTTTTGGGTGGTCATACACTGTGGTTATTTAACTAACGTAAATAAAACAAAGATTTTGGTAAACAGCTACTTTAACAGTTTCCATCCTCTGTGACTTAATTTGGTTTTGTTTTTACACTCAAAGATGACACCTCAATGCTAGCCAGTCAGGTGACAGACGCAGGCCATTCAAACGCACGGACACAGTCCTGCGATTTACGACGATGTGGATGCCAATGGAGAGTGTACAGTGCAATGACTAAGCGTCTGACCCTGAACAAAGGGTTGGGGTGAGAAAGACGAGGAGTCAGCTCCCATACAGACCCACAGTGGGGCTCCTTCCCGTGGCTTCACGTGCTCTGGACTGGACAGCAGAGGGTTAGGTGGCCATTTATCGGATCTCTGCACACACGATGTGAGCTCATACGGAGGTGCCAGGTGCTGGCCTAAGTTCCTTACCCCAATCAACTCACCAAAGAATCTCAGCAAACCTAGAAGCACCACTACTATTGTCCCCAAAGACGGCTGTGTGCTCGGGAAACCCACAGGGCAGTTCTCCGCTGCCCTGCGGGCCGCTCTGCAGTGAGTTTGGTTTCTATAGAGGTAAAGAAACGAAGACACGGAAGCTGGAGAACGGTCAGGACTAGGGTGCGAACCCAGGGCCCTGCATCTTCACCACCAGTCCCGGCTCCCTCATTAGAGTGCAGAGGGCATGTGAACCCAACCCACTGCCAGGAGTCGTTCTGACTCACCGATGGAGGAAGCTGGTTCCCAGGACTGTGAACCTTATGGGAGAAGACAGAAGTCACTCTACACACATGCATGTCCTGTGAAGCAGTCCCTGCTGTCAATGGAAAGAAACCGAGTCCTCACCACTGGGCAGCAGACAACATGGCGATCGCTAAAGGAAAGATCCCAGTTCCAACACCCATGGGGTCGGCAGTCAACACCCATGGGGTCGGCAGTCAACACCCATGGGATCAAGTTTTCAGCGCCCATGGAATCGACAGTCAAGAAGCCAAATGCTTCCTTGCCTGGGGCCAATGTGCTGGGAGAGACCTTTTAGAAATGTTCAGATGCAAAGCTGTCGCTTTGAGAACTCAGGTGTGCCTGACCCAAGCCACGGCATTTTCGATCATCCCCTCATAAGCTTACAAAGGCTCGACAACGAATCGGGAAGAGTGAGGACGAACCGGTGCCTTCGGAGTATGGTGCTGGCCAAGAATACTGACAGAACTGTGGACTGCCAGAAGAACAGACACATCTGTCTTAGCAGAAGTGCAGCTGGATGCCGCTTTGAATCAAGCATAGGGAGACTTCATGTTGAATACTTGACCATCCCTGGAGAAGGCCACCCTGCTCAGTGGAGTACAGGGGCAGCACAGAAGAGAGCCCTCAGGGAGCTGCAGTGACACCGCGCGGCAGCCAAGGGCCCCAGCACAACTAGGGTGTAAGGCCGGCGCGGGACTGACCGCGTGGGGAGCGCTGTGTGCACGGGTCGCTCTGAGTCGGAACCAGCTTGACGGTAACAGCAGCGGCAGTGGCATGCATATTTGTACAATTAAGTCAATGTCCTGGACAGTATTTGCAGCTGCCTTCTCACCCAGGAGCACATCACAGAAACGATGCACCGTCTTCTGTCTTCGTATGAATGCCGGGCCGGAAGCCTGGGCTCTCTCTGCTCCTCCGCAGCCCCTCCTGAGTCCCCACCCAGTCACTGAGCACCTGTGCTGACAGCGGTGAGACGGGGCAGCCAGACCTGTGTGGGCTGGTCTGATTCTAGGGTACAGTCTTGGGAGGGGAGGGGACCACGTCAGACTCTGGGGCACAGAGGAGAGGGACGGGTGGGTGCACGCGTTACCTTTGACAGATCTCTGAAGTTCCCTGGGAGAGTCAGGTCCAGCTCTTCCGACTCGTAGTTGGTGAGCACCCACGGGAACACAGGGTACTGGTTCAGGTCGTTGTATGTCCTCCCTGGAGAGAGGGGGGTGAAAACGGGGCCATGTTAAGGGTCCTCGGGCAGCATATGCTGCCCTGGGAGGGGGGGCAGGTCCTTGCTGCCTGAGCCTGTCCGCTCAGCCCCTCTCATCGGTCGGTTCTCCCAGTCACAATTCAGAAAGGGGCGCTGGAATGATGTCCCATGGCCGTGGGGCCTGGAGTGTATGCAGACTACAGATGGATTATGGACCAACAGTGGCAGAGGGTGCTTTAGGGTGCCGCCTCCCCGGATGAGCTGCCTGGCCCCACTCCTCTGCTGACCATGACAGGGCCATACTGCACCTGGCGTGGAGCCTGACCACTAGTTATGGGGCGGTGATCAAGCACGCTACACTGACACCTGGAAACTGCACCCCCATGAATGAGGGCACCGGGCGCCCCTGCACACGACAAAGACTGGCAGGTGCCCAGGGGACTGCTGACCATGCAGCCGGACGGCCCTGCTGGTAGCTGGTGTGAGGATTTCTCGTCGACCAGGAGCCGGTGCTCCGGGCTTGGGAAGCTCAGGGAGCACAGGCTGAGCCAGCTGCGTTGTTCCGGTTTCCATGACGCCTGCCTGTGTTGTTTCGAGTGAAGGTGGGCAGAGCCGTCTATGTCCCCCTCTCAGAATTCCTGCCCGAGCTGCTCGCTCAGCAACACCGTGGCAGGCTTCACGGTGTGTGAGCAGGCCCTTGGCCCACATCCCAGGAGCTCTGTCTCCACAATTCCAATTCCCGTGTACCCTCTAGCCCGGCCTGCCACCACCCTGTGGTCTCTGTCGGAAGTGGCTGTGGACTATTTGGTCTCCGGTGGAGGTTGTTCGAGGTCCACGGTGTCCATGATTGATGGCAGTCATCCTTTGGGGAGCCCACGGGTTACCGAGCCACGAGGGGACCGGGGACTGGCTCTGATGCAGGTGTACAGAGTGGCACAGGGTGTCCGCTTCTTGCTTTCTTTTTACCCAAACAACTTAGGTGCTTTGGAAATGCCAGGGGAGCAAAAGAGCCCTGGTGGCCCAGTGGGCTGCCAACTGCTAGGTGGGCAGTTCAAACTCAGCGGGTGCTCCTGGGAGCAAGGGGGCCACGCAGCCCCATAAAGATGCTTGATTCAGGAACCTCGGGGGGCAGTTCTCCTGTCCCCAGGGACTGCTCTGTGCGGTGGGGTCCACTCCATGGACGGAAGCTGAGTGGGACCCCAGGAGCAGATTGAGAACAGCACCAGCCCGGACTAGACTTGCAATCCTGCTCGGTCACGTGTCACTGAGGGAGCAGCCATACTGAAGCCTGGGACACGGGGCATGCTGCTCTGGGAGGGGCTGCCTTTCCAAAGCCCCGTACAAATTCACGCAAAGCAGTCACTGCTGGCACTGAGAGAAGGGTTTCCCACACCAGAAGCACCACAGCCTAACAGACGTGTGGCACATGCTTGCTGTGCCCTCCTGGCAAGGAGCCCGGCTGGGGCCAAGGTTAGAGGGTAGGGTAGTTGGAGCACAGGGGCATGCAGGAGAAGCCCTGGCCACATGCTCCTTTGAAGCGGACATTCTAGAAATGCGCCCCGCCCCACCAGGGAGGGGGGTGTTGAGCTCCATCACAGGGGGTTGCTGTTGGCAGGCAGAATCCACTCTTAAATAACCAACAAGTGCGCCCATTTAATAGCAGGGACTGTAGTTAGGGCCAAGGCATCATACTATGTTCAGGAAATTCTGCTGGGAGAAGAAAGCACCGTTGTTAAATGACAGAAAGGTGACGCACTTGCGGGCTTTCAGAGCACGAGCTTCACAGCACCACTCTCCAAGCCGAGAAGCACGGTTGTCTTCATAAAGGAGCAGGCTGACCTGAGAGGACAAGGACCTTTTTAATAATGTCCTTGGGTCTGGGCAGGCAGGGAGTGTGCACGCGCGCACACGTGCACACACACACGCTGTCTGGGGTGATGGTATGCGCTGTACTTACACGCACATGGAAGAGAGAGAACCACTCAGGGATGTCTGGGGTTTGGCAGTTAAAAGTTTTCACTGGGAAAGGGCATTTGAACCTTAATTATGTCAATGAACATCATGGTGATTTTTTTTTAATGCTGTTTCCTAAATCATCCTAATCAGAGAAGCACTGCTGGGTTCAGGGTGCCTGGCCTGGGCAGATTGGGCCTGCTTTTGGCCTTTCCTGGTGGGCACTCCGGTTTGGGAGAGAGCCCGAGCCGACAGGTAGGACCCGTCCCTTTCCCTGAAGAAGGACGTGCATGTCGAGATGAATATCATGCTGGGGTGCAGGGGGTGTGAAAAAGAAGCCCCTGGTGGGGCTGACGGATGCCAGGCCCAGCGACGGGCTCAGACCCAGCCACTGTTGAGAAGAGGCGCAGGCCCAGGCGGGGCCGCGGTCTGCCGTTTGGGGGTCACTCAATTGAGAGCCCCGTGGACAGCGCATCACCCCAGACAGCTCATCCGTCTTCCTCCTTGCGAGCAGCTGGTGGGCTTGAACTGCCGACCCAGTGGTGAAGATCCACTCTGTTGCCAGGGCTCCTTTGTGTCCAGGCCCTTCTGGAACACGCAGGTGGTTCTATTAACATGTGGCTGGGCTCGTCCCCGTGGCCAGCCTGTAGCTGAGTAACTGCGGGGCTCACAGCATGGTCCTCAGTGGCGGGGCTCAGGCCCACGGCGTGGTCAGCACCAGAACAATGGAGTCGCAGGACACGGTCTCTGAGACTCTGTGCTTGCTTCTTCATTACACACGCAACTTTTTAATTAAACCATCCAATTTAATGTTTTCATATGGCACTTTGGTTTTGAAGGTAAAGCAATCTTGAGACAGCTGACAACGAAATTATAACTGCAATTCCTTGGTGAAAATGTTAATGACAGTAAAGTATTGTTTAATTAGGTGGTAGCCGCGGCTATGCGCGCGCCTGAGGAGCTGCGTCCCTGCGCTTGCCGGCGCCTTCACACTTCATAGACACTTTGTCATCTCTAGGTCATTAGGAGGGAGTTTTTAATGATTTTTCTAGAAGCTAGCAGTTCAAGTTACATCTAATTAGATGACAATAATAAGCCCGACACACGCTGTAGCTAAATATATACATAATTAACCAGTGAGGGTTTGCATATCACAGGGTACAGGGAAAAAAAAGTGGAAAATGCTAAACAGGAAGGAAAAAAGGTTGGGGTGGGGGGGACACTGTGCGGAATTCATTAGATGATCAGATGACAACTCAGCGAGCTCCCACAACAAAATCTCACACCTCACGGCCCGTCGACACGCAGCACGTTAGCAGTCGTGCTGCATGTTTTTAATGCGGGCCTGCCAGTTTGTGACATCTTATTCTGAGCACGATCAAATGAGGGCGAGAGGGACATGTGTACCCACCAGGCCCTGGGAGCAGACAGCCAGGCCACTCCAGGAAGGCGAGCTTGGGACCGGCTTTTATTCGGGCACGAAGTCCCCTTGGGATCCTCGGACACCGGCACTGAGCGACTGCTACGTGGTGAGGGCATGTCCACGGAAGTCAGGCGAATGATGTCCCAGGACTGGGGCTGGACCTCCCAGGCAGTTTTAAAGAGCGGCACACAAAGATCACTTACTGAAATGGGAACAGGAGGCTGCGGCACTGCCCTGTCTCCAGGTCCCAGAGACTGGCTGCCACTCCCATGCTGGAGGGAGAGGGTGACCAGGGTGGGCATGTGTGGGCTGGACGGGTTCCTTGTTCAGCTTCCCCACAGTCCTGGCCTCCAGGTTGGGTATTTTACTGACTGTATCAACAGCCCTGGTAACAGGGTACGGGAAGATTGATGGCTGTTCCGTGTTTGTGGAAAACCAGTGTGCTTCCCAAACACGGCCTCTTCACAGGACGCTCACACATGCAGTTCAACCTGTGTCCATGTGTAACTCTGTGAGAGGCGGTAAGAAGTGCGTGGAAAGATGGGATGGAAAGACAAAAGAGTTTTCCCGTGAGATTATTGAAGGCCCTCCCCATGTGGACATACATGTGTGTGTTAGGTATTTGTGCACGTCACATACGTTGGTCTGAAAAATCTACCTCATGCCTTAACGTGAAGACATGGCTACCATGTGCTTCGTAAGCAGTCTCATTCTTTCAGGCATCTAGAGAGGAGAAATGGTCAAGTATAAGAGACCCTGCAACACGGAGGGGGAGAGATGGGCTAAAAACACCGTGCTTTGTATTTCATATGAAAATAGCATTTTGGAGCGTGTAAGTCAGCTGCCCAAATATATCTGTAGAAAATATGAAATTCATTGCCACATTGATTTATAATTTTTAAAGGGGAAGCCAGAAGAGATTGTTTAATCTTCCCAAGTAGGCTTCAATTCTATAGCTTTCCTGTTGAGCCCAGAAAAAATATTAACAATCTTTCACCCAGCAATTGGAGTGAATTGACAAAACAGATCAGAATCAAAAGGGAAGTGCACACACACTGGCAGAACATAAATATTGAATCGCTCAATGTGACAGGCGCATTGCTGCTGTGGTTAAGTGCTGCCTAGTCAGTGCCGACGCGGGGCCCTTGCACCACAGTAGGAAGCAACCTCCCCATCATTACTGTGTTTGAGCTGCAGCTGCGGTGTCAGCCCATTTCCTGGTGACCCTCCACTGTGCAAAGCATGACATGCGTCTGCAGAGACAGGCCCCTTTCCAAGAGCATGTCTAAAGTACGGGAGACGAAGTCTCTCCACTCTGCCTGGTGAGGAGCACGTGGCCTGCATGCCTTCCAAGACAGACCTCTCCGCTCTCGGGGCCGTCCAGGGTACGGTCAGTACTAGTTGCTAGCACGATAACTCAGGTGGATTCCTAGTCTTCAACCCTCCTTGTTCTTTGTCCAGCTTCCGCAGGCATTACAGGCAAGGAAAGGCCGCATGGCGTGAGTCAGGCTCACCTTAGACCTCGAAGTGAAGTCTTTGTTTTTTAAAATGCTTCAGAGCTCTCTGGCGGTAGATTTTCCCAATGTAATAGACCAACACTTCCATGAGCATTGATTATTAATCCAG